CATCCCAGCCAATTTTAATCTTCAAAAATTTAAATGCAATGGTAATCGCTATCTACTGGCCTGATTACTCTTTCCTCTTCCTGCTCCTTATTAATGTTTCTATTCCTAATTCTTCCACGCTTTGTAATCTTTTGTGTCTCAGTGGCTTTATGCTTTGCATGGGGTGAAACCGATAAAAAAACAAAAACAAACTCGGCATGATAGACTGGGCCACTATCTGCACTGGAAAACTTGCAAATTTTGCGGAAAGGAAACTGCAAGAAACTGGTATGACCATCGCCCAAACCCGGTTACAGAGGACCTGTAACAATTTTATGGGACTTTACAATACACGAAGACAGAATAATCAAAGCTAATCGCCCAGATATCGGGATCAGAGACCACACAAACAATGTGCTTTCGTATTGTCATGGCAGTCCCTGCAGATTGTAAAAAAAAAAAAACTATCAGAATACAAGGATTTTGAAATGGAAATCTAAAAAATGTAACACATGAGTACATCAATAATTCCAGTTGTAGTTGGAGCCCTCGGATTGATTGAAATAGGTTACGATAAATTCATTGAAGGGAATCTTGGTAGCCCATACCTTAAAGAAATACAAAACATTATACTCGCAAGTACAGCTCACACATTACCAAGAGCTTTATCTATGTAAAATGTGTATGATTTTATGGATTTTTCCCTCAAAATGTGCCCAGTAAAAAATGTCATGATGCCATAGCTGATCTTAAGTCTCTAGTTGGGACCCGGAAAAATGAATATACACGAGGAATCAATTAATAAGAATAGTAACTGACAATGAAGCGAGGGAAAAAGAGACGCTCTTTGTGTATTTGTGGCAAGGAATAGTGGAAGATTGATTGATTGGACGAAAGATGAGTTACAAACACTGGACAGAATAAAACAAAAACAAAAAAAAACAAAAAACGAACGCTGTATTTTGATAATGGTGCCCTGCACTAAAAATCTAAACGTTATAAGATTATATACTTTACGAAAAGAATGAGGTAGAGGACATATCGGGCGTGTAACGAGTGAACGAAGGTCGTTGGACTTGAACTTGGTAAACAGTGACGAGACACTCCTAAAGCACGTGGCGAAACCCAAAAAACCTTGTAAAAGAAAGTATCGAGAAGAAAGAAGAATACAGGAAGAGGGTAGTGAAAGAGAAGTTAAAAGCAGGAGAGGCAATGCCTACTTCATAAACAGTTTGAGAGGGAACACTAAAGCCATTAAGTCAAGAGTCGGGGGATTGTCAACCAATCAAGAAAGGCGAATTGAATCCCGAGACTAAAAGCCGCCCAAGACCAATCCTTGCATACTAATTATGACTAATGTAGATTGAAAAGTAAACAAATTATTTTGAAAAAGAAATATTTGTTGCGTAAAATAAACGATGTTGTCGTCATCAGGCCCCGGATTTATGTATGTACGTACGTAATATGGCATAGTATAGCACAAGGCCACAATCACAATTTAGTCTAGTAAAAGGTAGTGACACTCAGTTAGGATCGAACCCAATATAGTAATGATCCCCTGCATTTTTAAGGTTAATTTATAAGCTTAGCTATGTCTGACACGATTCCCTATAAAAAGGTACCTAGTGAAGATAGAACACAATATAAAAGGCTTAGCTTACAAACTCTCTACATTAACGACCATGTTAACTAACACATTATGCTGGGCGTTTTTTTTTTTCGTTTTTATGATTTAGAAATTGTGTGAAAGAAAATATTTGCTCTATTGTAGCCATTTCGACATTCGATTCTCAATTTATGTGAGCTTTCGTCGGAGTTAATTCAGTCGGACAAACGTCTGATAATTATGTAACCTAAAAACACTCTTGTTGATTTTGAAGCCCACCAAAATAAATGAAATAAAAGAAATCGGTGAATAAAATATTTTCTACAATTGAAAGCATGGCGATTTACACTCGTATGAGGTCTAGAAAACGGTGTATATATACTTAAAAAATTATAACCTATAAGTGTCAGGATCAATAAGTTCGTAACCTGACAATAATTGGGTAGATCAATAAATTCGTAGCCTGCTCTATATGATTAACTAGGTAGTGTTGGGTTAAGTATATGGACAAAGAAGGAGATGTATTCCAAAATATATTTACTGTGTACAATGAATGCTTGTTTATCGTTAAGCCACGGATGTATTTAGGATATGCACGCAGGTTGATCAATAACTTCATAGTCTGACACGTAGTTATCGTATGAATTTTAATTCGAAATTTTTACTGTATAATGTTTGTTCCACGAGAATCATTTGAATTACGGAATCAAGTGCGTTGACAAGGAAGGAGATAATATCAACAATTAAATATTTGTATAATTAAAATAAATGCATTTTTAATCCTTAGGCTAGATAATTATCGATGTAGCTATGTATATAATAAGTATTCATAGAATAAAATATACAATATGCCAAGCAGATTTAGCAGTCAGTAATTACACGTGGGAATAATTAAGTTTTTAAAACTTAGGGATAAGAAATCTTAATCTTGATTTAAAAGTATTAACCCGTAAAACTTCGCTTTTCCATGCATTGACAAAGATTTGTATTCGTATAAAATTGATTTAGTTTGATTAGACTTGAAAATGGGAACATTCCTGATTTGTAAATTTTGTACATATGAGAGAAAATTTCCGTCTCAAAATTAGTTTTAATTTTTCTCAAATTTATTAAATATATGAAGGAGAAATGTAATATCTCTAATATTCATGTAAGATTTTACATTTCAAAAGTTAAATGACAATATGAATAATGATATATTTATATACAATGAAGATATACAATTAACAGATATATTAATATACAGTGAACATATACATTTATATACAATGAACAGATATATTTATATACAGTGAACATTTATATTTATATACAATAGATATATTTATATGCAGTGAACATCTATATCTATATACAATGAACAGATATATTTATATAAAATAAACAGATATATTTATATGAAATAAACATATATATTTATATAAAATCCAGTATCGTACAAACATATCACACTATGTTTGTTTTATCATATGTACAATCGTATGCCGAATAAAAGAGGAGGTCCTATTAAATGGAGGTCGGTTTTGAAAAAAAATCAAGAAGTGTCATAAATGGAATGTTTTTAATAAACGGGTGTAATTGGAAAATTTCAAAATTTATCAATCTCTCGAATATATACTGCCTAAAATAAATGTCCGTCAATATTTTAAGCAAAATGATTATACAAGATAAAAAAAATTATTTTGTTATATATGTTTTATTTCTTTTTGCGTGTGTCGTTAAACTTGATTTTCTTGGCATTTGCGACGACGTATTCCTCAATCTCTACTTTGTATCGCTTGACAAGTTGTCCTAGTTGTTTGGTTTTATGTAAGCGTCATTTCCCATTTGCCACGCGTACAAATTGTCGTTTGCTCCTTTTAAATGTTGTTATGTTCATAAAGTTCATAGTTTAAATGAATTGAGCACATAAAATATTTTACTAAAAGAAAATTTACTGGGCAATGGTTTCCCATCACGGTACATTTCAAAGCAATTTTTTTCAGTAATCAATTTAGTTGATTGATTGTGAGTGGTAATGCTAATTGTAATATTAACTGTTTCCTGCATTCATTGACCGAGCAGCCAGCGCAAATTTCGGTTGAAATTTATAAAATCTTTCTTTTAAATTAATTTTTCAGTAAAAAAGGTTTCTCTAGTCCACTAAATGTTATTACTCTTTCCAGTACTGATTGTGGGGTGGGGTGGGGGTATTTCCTAACTTTGTGTTTGATGTAGTGTGGAAGGTTAACATCTTGATTTTTTAAAAACTAAGTTTACTCTAAGTAAGGCGATAATGCCACTAAGATGCAAGGGGCGAATGGAAATGAAAGAGTGTGAAAGGATTTTAGAAGGAACCAGAAATATGATTCTAGGCAGAACATAAGGGAAGAACCTCTATTCCTGTTCAAAACACCTGGTGTGAATCGGGCGAAAGGCAAATCTATCTACTTCAATTAAGAAGATAGAAGAAAGAAAATGTTAGATAAAATGTCAGTGTTCAGACGGAGACGTTAGAAATGCAGTGTCGAAATTGTCTTTAGAAGGAACTGGAAACCCTATCCTGAACAGGGAAAAATGGATAAACCTCTACTCTTATTCAAAAGACCGGGGAAGAAAGCGAAACGGAAGATATGCGTAAATTATGATGATGTCATTATTTTCTCTTCGAGTTTACATGTAATATCCATTTTAGTTGTTGTTGTTGTTGAAACTCCTCAAGTGATATAGTTTCTTTTGTAAGCATTGTTAAATATAATAGACATTATGGTGTTTGTTATATTTATTGATCTTTTTTCTAGTGTACGAATATGGTTTCGCAAATTTGGTTGCTGGATGTGGGTAAATTGGTCAAAATTCATATTGTATTGTCCGAAGCTTTCGATTCACATCTGTCATCATCAGCGGTGAATGCGTTAGAAAAGAAAATGAAATGGGTTTTAAGAAATAGATTGCACCATTATTTTTAATGTGTCGTTATTTTTGAAAACTTTCATATTTTGTGCACATTGTCTCCCAAATGTGACTGCATAAATCTTTATAATTTACATGTTGCTTATCTCAATGAATCAGGTTCTAAAAACCGTTACAAAATGTCGCGTCGATCAAGTACGTTTTTAGAATAAAAACATTTGAAGTGTATGAAAAAGTTAAATATCCTCTTTCATTGACTGATTCGTTTTTGACGGTTTATCAACCGTTTGCAGGTTATTTAAAGTCATAATAGTTTTTAAGATTGTAATAATTTTTTGAGATAATAATGATTTAGTGATACAAGTCTGACTAATTAACCCATAGCTGGGGGAGTGGAGAAGAGGTGGATTTATTCAAATGATATTTGCGCGTAAGTGAATATAAGGAACCCTACTGAAATTGGAACTCGGCTCTCCGATTAATATTTCCGAATCTTTATCCATTACACCACATCTAACTTTAAAGCACCTGGTGTTCCCAAGCGGTCACCCATCTAAGTACTGACCAGGCTCGATGTTGCTTAACTTCAGTGATCGTACTGGTGTTTCAACGTGATTTTTCGAATTTGTACTTGTAGCTTTTTTTGCAACAAAATATCATAAAGGTATTCGTAAAAAATACAAAATTACTTTTGCGTAGATTTCAATATGCTTTTAAATTAATTTTTTTTTCACTCAGGATAAGCTTCGATTACTGTCTCTCGATAGTGAAAATTAAACTAATTAAGAAACGCGACCACTAGAAAAACGTAACCATTAGAAAAATGTAGTATTTGACGGAAATTAATTTAATGATTACTTAACTGTATTATGGAAAATGCTACATTTTAAAAATTTACATATAGTGAAAAAATATTTGTCCGCAAGCAAGTGTCTATTACCTGTCAACTAAGTTAAAAGTTTCTTAACAATATGTGATAAAAAACACTTAATTTTATATTCGTCTCATGGAACATATGAAGTAAGGATGACCATAAATAACAAAATCTGATATTACCTACAATGGCACAAGTATATTTCCAATATTAAAACACTGTCAAATAATGGGTAACACTTAAATATGTAATATAAAAGTAAACAATAAAATCAGCATTTTTTACGACATTTTAAAATGTTCTGCCCTGTCAGCATAAATTTAAATTTATTATTTTTTGACTCATCTTCCTTTCATATTATTTCTGTCGATTTTTATTGCAACGTCAAGGTCGTCATTCTGCAAAAAGTAGCGTGGACCGGAAATTAAGTTCGGGCTTTCAGCGAGATTAGAACTTTCATCCCATAATTCTTAGCAAATTGCCTTATTGATTGTTTTTTTCTTATTTCCAATGTAGTCGTATTTTAGTAAGTATTTTGTTATATAGATGGAAGCTATTTAGTTGTTCGGCCATGCAGCCAAAATTGAAACCCTTATACACATTTACAGACAATAATTTGAAACCTATATCGTCATAATGCTGACCTTAGCTCTTAGTGAAATGGCGCTGTCAATTGTTCTAATGTGAAGAAGGTTGTAATAAACTGCTCTCGTTGTGGAATGAACACCACTAGTTCTTCGTGAATCTATATACATTATACACCTTGGGCTTCAGTCTAACAGACATTATGGTAGTACTCAGAGTTGTTTTAATTCCTCTATTTAACATAAAACTAATATCTTTCAACTACCACTACTACAATTGACCTTCATTTTTGATTATTTATTCTTTGGTCTAAGTCTGTTTAGAAAAATAACAAATAAAATGAATTAAATTTGTTCATTTATCTTATGACTGTCTCTACTCTGAGTTTCAAAGAATTACGTCTAGTCTTCAGAAGATTTAATGCATTTCTGGGGCGAAGGAAGGGGGTCAAATACTATTTGTAATTAACAATTCTTATTAATATCTATTTAAAAATATATGTTAAGGGAATAAGCACTAACATTCCTTCTCCTTCCATGAAAATAAAAAAAAAGAAAAGAAAAAAGCTAGAAAACTTTGCTATGGTTTTAGTGGTTAGCAATTTCCTCTCACAGGCTATTACTACTGTAGTAAATTCGATCTTCATTGGCTACTTCTACATTCGTAGATACAAACCGAATTTAATTTTCAGTTCTTCCTTTTAGCATTTAAGAAAAATAGATTCAAGAACATGTTATACTTTCGAATTAAGTCATTAAGAAAAATATTTCTTATATTTTATGCTTGGAATAATTTATCAAGAGAGAACGATATATAAAAAAAAAACAAACATTCGGAATGACCTAGTTCTCAAAATCAGTAATTTTGATGTCTGATCATTTAAATATTGCTGATATTAAGAATTGGATTGCGTTTAGAACTTCTGAGCACTCCCTCGTTTCTTTCTTTCTTTCTTTCTTTCTTTCTTTCTTTCTTTCTTTCTTATCACATGAATGTTTCGTGCTGTGAATACTGTATAGCACTTACGCTTATTTTATATGACCTAATTTTTTGTGCAGTTAAGTAGAACGTTTTTACTCTAAAGACCAAGTTACATAAAAACACTCGAGCAACTATAAAATAAACAAAACAAAACACACGCAAAAAAAACTTCAAAAACAGACAAACACATCTCGAAATATTCAAATACTAGACTCAGTCAAAGTGTTATGCTTGGTCTTCTTTAATTACAACTGATTTAATATTAGATGCACTCGTCTTTTGAACACGAGTAGAGATTTATCTCTTGTTTCCTCTTTAGGATTGGGTTTCCTGGTTTCTTCTAAAATCTTTTCATTGTCTTTCACTCCCATTAGCCCATTACGTTTTAGTTACATTATCAACTTGCTTGGGGTGAATTGATTGGAAAAAAAAAACGAAAAAAAAAAAACAATTCACAAAGATGACCAAAATAAGCGCAAAAGTCTCAGGATTCCAAATGTCGTGCTTAATTCTCTTCCCTGGGTGAAGGCACTGTTAATATATGTAAATTTCTTCTTTCATCTCATCGTCATTGGAGAACTGCTAACCTCTGAATGCTTCCTTCATTGGCTCAGACAAACTGCTGTCATATATGGGCAAGAGCTGGCTAGTATTCACTTTCCAAACTTTACAAAAGCGTATCCGCTGCCTTCTGAGTGATGAATCATTTTCCAACCTACAAACATTTTCTTACAGACGAAACGTTGCAAGACATCTCTATTTTCATGAAAAGTGTTAAGACCTGTCATGCCACATACATTGTAGCGAACCGACTCCCAATCACTACAATCTTAACCTTTTCAACTCTAGAGTTAACAGTTATCTTTCTTGCATATCCACATAAACTGTGCCTTTTGCCTCTTTATCACATACGCACATGCAGTGTCTCTTCCGTAGAAGATATTATTTAGTCATTTCAAATTATTTCGATTTTTCAGTGAGAGATAGGGAGAGCGAGAGAAAGATCTAACACAGAAATTACCGGTATCGTGCTTTTAATGTAGAACGATGGTTTGTATTCTGCTAAAGCTGGTTGGGACCCGGAAGGAAATGCGTATACAACAGAAATCCAAGGAAATAATAATGATAATAATAATAATAATGATAATAATAATAATAATAATATGTGCTGACGCTGCACCATCCATGGCTCTCATGACGTCTGTTCTTAAATGATGCATATTTTCTTTTGGTGCATTAAAAGGGATTACTGTAAATATCCCATTCAGTACCACATACTTATTTACTGACCTTAACCATTTGAGAATGTTCTCTCAGTGCTTCCCCAGTGCATCTCTATTCATGGACGTGAGTAGTGGGAGAACATCATGGCTTAGTATCAAAATAACTTTCAAGTTTTAACGATGAGGCAACCAAGGTGACAATGGAGTTACATCTAGATACTTGAGATTATCGGAGACCATTTGAGCAGAATGGGTTATCCGAACTGAAGGTGTTGCCAACAGGTACTTACCAGTAAGGTTATGAACTGCTTTTATCAAAGACTTTTAGCATATCGCACACATTTGACAATGATATACGTGCCTGGTATATACTTATCTTGTCATGATGGGTATATTCGACTTAACATATTTTTTTTTACCTCGGTTTCAATTTGTTGCTGTACCGCTATCACAATTATTATTAATATTACTACTACTACTACTAATAATAATGATAATAATGATAATAATAATAATAATAATAACAATCCATAAAACTATAATAAATCTATTAATAATAATAACAGTCCATAAAACCCTTTAACAATCCATAAAAACATTGTAAAATCTCTATCAACGTTTGTAAATAATCCCGATGAAATCTCGGATTGGATCACTGAAGGCATTACATATCTCATGCCAAAAACGAGTGAAACAGAAGATTCGAAAAATTATAGGCCAATAACATGTTTCTCCATAACGTATAAGTTGATCATGTCTGTCCTGACCAACCGAATTTACTCTTCGAAGCAAACAACATTCTTCCGCTTGAACAGAATTGATGCAGGAGAGATTCATATGGCTGCAAAGATCAACTTCTGATAAACAAAATGATCTTGGAAAATTGCAAGAGACGTTGTAGAAATCTTAGCGCAGCGTGGGTAAATTATCGTAAAGCCTTTGATAGTGAACCACACTCTTGGATCCTTACGACTTTGGAAATGTACAAAGTTTCACCTGTGGTAGTAAATTTCCTTAACCACAGCATGGGAATGTGGAACACCACACTATACCTAAATCACATCAGAGACACTGCCATCCCAAACTGTCTGAATATCCGACGCGGAATCTTTCAAGGAGACTCCCTTTCACTCCTGTTCTGTTTGTCCTTAATCCCCCTTAAGCATGAACTAAACAACAGTAGCTATGGTTACAAAGTAGACAAAAAAATATTCAATCACCTACTCTACATGGATGATCTCAAACTCTTTTCCAAAGATGGCAATGAGTTGAAGGGCCTCCTCAATATTGCAAAATACTTCAGTGACGACATAGGTATGGACTCGGATTAGATAAATGTGCAAAAGTAACATTTAAGAAAGGGAGAATTATAGAAACAACCTCAATAGATTTAGATTTTGTCATAAACATTAGGGAACTGGAACAAGATGAAGCCTATAAGTACCTATGTATTAGCGAAGGAGATGGTATGCAACATGAAATGAAGGAGAAGGTAAGAAAGGAGTACTACAGGCGTGTGCGTCTGGTACTAAATACCGAGCTGAACTAAAAAAAAAACAGAATATCAGCCATAAACACATTGGCTGTACCCGTGGTGCAATACAGCTTTAACATCCTTCATTGGACCATAACGAATGGACGCCAAAACGAGAAAGCTTCTCACTTGCTACCGCATGCATCATCCCAAAGCTGACGTTGATCGTCTGTATGTGCCCAGAACCGAAGGAGGCAGAGAATTAGTTCAACTAGAACTGTCCTACAAAACTACAATAATTGGCCTTCAAAGATACCTGGAAACCACAGAAGACTGGATGATGATATGTGTTAAAGAACATGAAAGTAGTAAGCGCATTTATTCCGTAATAAAAGAAGCCAACAAGTTCAAAATGGAGTTTCAAATGGATGCAGAAATACAAGTAAAGCACAATACACCGATTGAAGCTGCAA